GTGCCGCCGCGCTCCCTCTCTGGACGCCCGAAGTGGGTACGGCAAGAAGTCCTCCTCCTCCTCCTGCTCCTGCTGCTGCTCCTCCTCCTCCTCCTCCTCCTCCTCCTCCTGCTCCTCCTCCTCCTCCTCCTGCTCCTGCTCCTCCTCCTCCTCCTCCTCCTGCTCCTCCTGCTCCATGGGTGCGATGCCCAACAGCAGTTCTTGTTCATTCTGAGCAGGACTCGCTGTCCACGCCGCCGCGGCCAATGTCCATTCAGGGCAGAAGGCCGCCTGCCCAACAGCGGCAGCTGTTGGTTTGGGACAGCATTTGTTGTTGGGCATCGTTTCCATTATTTCCGTACCCATTTCGGGCGTCCAAATTCCCTCCCGTCCCTCGAGGCCTCGAGGTCCAAGATGTCAAGCAGTGGCGAAGCGCCCTGGTTTGCCCGTAGTCCCACCCCAGGAATGTTCCAAGAACCCTTCGTGGTCTGCGCGAAATGTCCTCGGAGCAATTCTGGCTGGGGCGGTCTTGAGCTTGTTTTCGGTATCAGAACGTTTTTGGGTTCGAAGAACATGTCGTGGTAGGCCTATAGGAATGCCGGAACGGTCGGTCCCTGCTCAATAGATGGGGTCGGATGGGGTCGGATGTGGAGGTCGAGGCCTCCTACCTCACATGCATCGGCGGTGCGGCCCGATGTGGAGCCCGATTCTCTCCCCGCCGACCTCCGCGATGCCCCGCCGACGTCGCCGATGCTTCGCCGATGCATCTCCGATGTATCGGCGATGCGGCGCGATCCTCGGACCCCAACTACTCGGACCCCATCTAGGAGGCCTCTGCTCCCCCTGCCCTCTCTCGAGAAGACGTAAGGCTGGAGCTCGCCGGAGCTCGGGTCTGCCGACGCTTCATGACGTGCCCGTCTTGGATTTTGACGGTCCAGTTTTCGTGGGATGTTTGGGTCTCAATACTTTCCTGACAGCCCAGTCAGGCCAACCCGAGTCCCCCGAACCCGAATCTTACTCCCCGACCTTACCCCCTTGTGCGCGCCGCCAACCCCGTCTCGGTACGGTCGAGATGGGTACGGAAAGAGTGGGGACGAAGACTGGCAGCAGGTCCTGCCCAGGTTTCACGAAGAGAAAAAACAGGCATTTGCACAAACGGTCGGGGCTCCGCGCAGACTTCTTAGATTGGCACCAGGCCCTTCTGGCCGCGCCTCTGGCGCTGCGCTCCCCGCGCCAGGGAAGGAGTCTGGCGCAGATCCAGGAAATCCGCGCGGAGATTCGACAGTTTGTATGTCTGCTGTTTATTTCTCCATGGGCAACGATACGGGGGGGACAGGCTCAGGGGGGGATGCACCGACTCCCAACCACCCATTGATCGCCGACAGGGGTCCGATAACCCACCCCGCCCAAAAACGTGCGGTTTCGCTATCGGGGGCCTATCGCCGATGTATCGCCGATTCCAGGGCGATGTTTCCCCTTTGTGCCAGTCCCCTCCATCGTTACCTCTCAGTTTTGAACAGGGTTCGCCTTCGGCGTCGTCGCAAACGTTGCCCTCCCCAGATCCCCTCGCGTCGCGGCAAAAATGATAGCGTGAGCTTTTTCCCCGACCTGGCGGAGGGGTTCCCGTTTAGTGTCCCCCTGGGGGGGTCTGGGGGGGACCCCCCGGGACAGGGCCCCGGCCACGCGCAGAACGCCGGCGGAAGTCGGCGGAAGTCGGCGGAAGACGGCCGCTCGACGGCCGCTCACGGCCCGATTTCTGCAGACACTCTTCCAGGAGGCACGGGCGGCCCCAAGATGGCCCACAAGATGGACCAAGCAGGCTTCCAGTCGTCGAAACAGCGGCACAAAACGCCCAGGATGGCGCCCCGACGACCCAGGGAGCCCCACAGACGCCACGAGAGGCCTCCAATAGGCCCTTCAGGAGAGCCCGTAGCGTCCAAAATCATAACTTTTCCTTCGGTATTTGAAGGTTTTTGGGGTTTTCGTCTTTTCAGCTTCCCGCCTTTCCAAGACAGCCCAAGAGGCCCCAAAGATCGCCCCAAGACGCCCTGAGAGACCCCCAAGAGAGCGTCCAGACGGCCGAATAGGCCCTCAGGACGACCCAAGAGGCCTCCAAGACGGTCTCAGAAGAGCCCCAGGGACGCCCCAAGAGCGCCCCCGGAGCGGAGACAGCGGCCCATTTTCAGGGTTCTCTGCCCCAGGAACCTTCAAGAGGCCCCAAGAGGCGCCCATGAGGCCCCCAAGGAGCCCCAAGAAGCCTCAAGAGGCCTCCAGGAAGCCCCCAGGAGCGCCCAAGAGGGCCCCAGGACTGCCCCAACAAAGCCCCAGGACGGCTGGAGGCGCCTCGACACAGCGTCACAGCGGCAAACGGCGCAAGAGGCCCCCAAGAGAGCCCAAAGGAACCCCAAGGAGCCTCAAGAGGCCTCCAGGGAGCCCCCAGTAGCACCCAAGAGGGCCCCAGGACTCCCCCAACCGAGCCCCAGGACGGCTGGAGGCGCCTCGACACAGCGTCACAGCTGCAAACGGACAACACGGGAACCCATCCTCTGCTGGTCTCGCATGGAAACGTGCTGAGCTCGCCTCCGGACTCGCATGGTCGCGTGTTGCGCTTACCTCCAAGACGCACCGTCGTTTCTTCCGCCACCTTTCTCTCTGAACATCTTTGGCACAGGAACCCCAAGCGACCTTTCAGATCCCCACATCGCTCCCCAGGAAATCCCCCGAAGGCCTCAACACGGCCGCATACGGCCCCCGAAAACCGCAAGTCGGCCGATCCTGTGAACCCGCGCCCCCCCTTCGCTGTGGCTCGCCTGGAGACGTGCTGAGCTCACGCAACTTGTCCAATCCTGGCTCCCCCCAGGAGCCTCCAGAGCCTCAAGAGTCCTCTAACTCCCACTCCTCCCTCGCCATGTCAACCCGCGACTCCCCTCCTCCCGGTGGCTCGCATGGAAGCGTGCTGAGCTCACCTCGTGACTCGCATGGTAGCGTGCGGAGCTCGCCTCCAAGACGCACCATCATTTCTTCCGCCGCCTGTTTTTGAGCACAGCCCTCACACTCCCTCTGCCCGCTCGCCATGTCCACCCGCGACACCCCTCCTCCCAGTGGCTCGCATGGAAACGTGCTGAGCTCACTTCGTGGCTCGCATGGTCGCGTGCTGAGCTCACCTCCAAGACGCCCCACTATTATTCCGCCGCCTTCCTTTGTGGACTGCTGTGCATGAGTTCCCCAACTGGGCCCTCGCGCCCCCAGGAGGCTCCACCACCGCCGCAGACGTCCTCAGCACAGCTGTCGTAACCCGAGAGCCTCCGGGAGCCTCCAGAGCCCCCAAACTCAATGCTCTCGCCCGTCCTGTCAACCCGCGCCCCCCCTTCGCTGTGGCTCGCGTGGAGACGTGCTGAGCTCACCTCCTGACTCGCATGGCCGCGTGCTGAGCTCAACTCCAAAGCACACAGCGGTTCTTCGACGACCATTTCCTCCGGACGACTCTGGCAGGGCAACCCCAAGCGAGCTCTCTGATTGCCAGAAAGCCCCACAGGAAGCCTTCAGGAGGGCCCATGACGGCCGCAAACGACCCCCGAGGCCGCAACTTCTCCACTCCTGGCTCTTACAGCCCGACACATCGCCGACACAACCTGCGACGATGCCCGAGGTGCCCCAGGAGCCTCGAGAGCCTCATGAGCCCTCCAACTCCCGCTCTTCGCTCGCCATGAGAACCCGCGTCCCCCCTGCTCCTGGTGGCTCGCATGGACACGTGCTGAGTTCACCTGGCCACTCGCATGGTCGCGTGCTGAGCTCGCCTCCAATACGCACCGTCATTTTTTCTGCAGCCTGTTTTTGTGGACAGCCCCCACACTCCTTCTGCCCGCTCGCCATGTCAACCCGCGACCCCCCTCCTCCCGGTGGCTCGCATGGAAACGTGCTGAGCTCACTACGTGGCTCGCTTTGGCGCGTGCTGAGCTCACCTCCAAGACGCGCCATGTTTTTTTCCGCCGCTTTTCTTTTTCGACTGCTGTGCGTGAGTTCCCCAAATGGGCCTCGGTGCCCCCAGGAGGCCCCACCACGGCCGATGACGTCCTCAGCACAGCTGTGCTACGGTCCCCATCCAGCCCCCGAAACGCCGCACGTTGTCCAACATTGCCGATGCGGGCCGAACTCCTGCCTCCCCTGTTAGCGTGCTCATCTCGCCCCCAAGATGACCGTCCTTCGTCGGCAACTCTCCCTCAGTGCAGTCTGTGCACCATCTGGCGCTGCTGGGAGTCCTACCCAGAGACCGACACCACTTCCCCTAACTTCGCAGTTCCCTCGCCCCCCCTATCCGTCGCCACTTGGTTCCGACTGGGCGCGCGTACCCCCTGACATGCTGCAATGAGTTTCACGTTTGGCCACTTTCCTACATCGCTAACCCCGAGCGCACATGCCTTCGCCGACGCGTTGGCCGCGCACTCTCACCTCAGCCTTCATTTCGGATTGGATTGCGACTCGTGGCGACGATTGGGGATCGTCTCTGACAACGGGACTCCAGATATGGAAACCGCGTAAAGAGCAAGAGCAGCGTGAGGGCCTCACCACCATTACCATCGAAGACTGGTGCATCGCCCTGGGAGTGTCATTCAAAGGGTATCGCAATGACTTGCGCTCCGACTACATACAAAGGATCCTCACAGCAGCGCGCCCACTTCCACGAAACTCCCCAACGGAACGCAGAACCTCCACAAAATGGCCTCGCCGCCTCACCGCCGACTTCATCCTCGCATGGATCGCGTCCGAAGGAGACGGCTGGGGAGCGACACTGGAATCCGCCCTTCAAACATGGGGCCCTCAGAAGCGGCACCGACGCGGCGTTCTCGAAAGCACGATCGAAGACTGGTGCCTCGCCCTCGGAGTCTCCTTCAAAGGGTACCGGAACGACTTGCGCTCCGGTTGCATACAACGGATCCTCGCGGCAGCGCGCCTACTTCCACAAACCACGCCTTCGGAACGCACGACCCCGACCAAATGGCCTTCCCACCTCACCACCGACT